CCAAATGTTGGCAAATGGTTCTATATTTATATAGGATATCTGGTCAGTATGGACGTGTTGGACCAAAGGGTCTGTTTCCATGCTGTACATCTCTATGACACTCAGCACTTTCACTTTCAAATACATACTCATGCATATGTACAGGGCATTTTTTGACAATCTCACAAAAAGGCTTTGCTACTGATTTGTAATTTTTGCACTAGTTACTTCTGATTTTTGTCGTAGAGTTATGCAGCATAGAAGCAGACCTTTCAATCCATGTGATCAGGCCAACCAGATATCCTAAACCAATCTAGTTCTATTTGCTAGCATTTGGCCCATATCCCTCTAAACCTTTCCTATTCATGTACCCATCCAAATGAGTTTTAAATGTTGCAATTGTACCGACCTCCACCACGTCCTCTGCCAGCTTGTTCCATTCACACACTACCCTCTGCATGAAAAGGTTGCCCCTCAGGTCCCTTTTAAATCTTCCCCTCTCACTTTAAATCTATGCCCTCTAGTTTTGGACTCCCCTGTACTGGGAAAAAGATCTTAATGTTCACCTTATCCAAGCCCCTTATGATTTTATAAACTTCTATAAGGTCACCCCTCAGCCTCCGATTTTCCAGGGAAAAAAGCCTTAGCCTATTGAGCCTGTCCCTATAGCCCAAACCCTCCAATCCGGGAAGCATCCTTCTAAATCTTTTCTGAACCCCTCCAAGTTTAACAGCATCTTTCCTATAGCAGGGAGGCCAGAGTTGAATGCAGTATTCTAAAAATGGCCTCACCAATGTCCTGTCCAGCCACAACATGACATCCCGACTCCTATACTCAATGCATTGACCAATGAAGGCAAGCGTGCCACACGTCTTCTTCACCACTCTGTCCACCTGCGAATTCACTTTCAAGAACTATGCACCTACAGCCCAAGGTCTGTTTGTTCAGCAACACTCCCTAGGGCCATACCATTAACTGTATAAGTCCTGCCCTGGTTTGTCTTACCAAAATGCAGCACGTCACACTTATCTAAATTAAACTCCATCTGCCAATCCTCGGCCTGGTAGCCCATCTGATCAAGGTTCATTATACTCTTAGACAACCTTCTTCACTGTCCACTACACCATCAATTTTGGTGTCATCTGCAAGCTTACTAACCATACCGCCTATATTCATATCTAAATAATTTATCTAAATGTCATGTACTACTAGTTTGAATCACTCCCTGATTAGGTACAGAAAGTCAATGCTACCTACTGTCCTCCTCCCAAAAACACTGCATTGTTTCTTTTCACAACCAATCCTGTGAATCAGTGGTCAGGAGGGAGTGGAAGTGGTGTTTTGGTCCTCGTTCTTTTACAGCAAAATGCAAAATGTGTCTAACTGACATTCCTGACTTACAGTTGGTGGGGGACGCTGCAGAGAAGACTAGCCTGGGTTATCAGCCTGCAGTTGCTAGTGGGAACACAAGAGACTTCCCATGAGTTGGAACCTCAGACCTCATTGGTAGAGTCAAATCTTGGTTGGGAGAGGTCAGAGGATTTTTTTTATGGAAAGGAGTCCCATTCAAGAGAAGGGACCGGGAAGTAAGCTTGGATCGATAGGGAAAATGGTGCTATAGAGGCACTTAACTTCACTGTGAATCCTAATCTCCCTTCTGATGCTGAGTTTGATGAGACCTGGGAGACTCAGCATCTATGCTTAAACTTGTATGGGTTCAGTCGACAGCCTTTGCTGGCTGCATTCCTGTTCGTTTCTGTTAAACTGAGAAGTGGGCAGGTTAGGGTCAGATTTGCCATCAAGTGTGACTCTGAAATACTTGGGGAATTAAAATCCATTCCCAAGTCCCGTGCCACCTATGTTCCCTCAAAAGCTTTTCTTTTTGTTTCCTTCCCACTAAGTGTACTGTGAAGACCTCTTCATGGCTGGTAGTGATTGATCTAGTACACAGGTAGGTGCTGGTGTCAGAAATTCCAGCAGGTCCCAGCACTAATGAGTACCTTTGCTGCTGATGACAGCAAGAGCAGCACCATGGATATGTAATGGATAGAACATGAGATGGGCAATAGAGAATTGCCTGAGACAACTTGGGAGATCTCAGAGAGGGATGCTCCCATCAACCCCTGTGAAACTCCCAAAAATTAGCACTCCGCTGGTTTTGGTAAAATGCCCCCCTCATAATCTTTTACTAATGGCAAAACTTTCAGCCAATTTGTGTACACCATCTCCTGCTGAGAGAAGTGATTCGTTAGGTTTTGAAACTCAGCCAGACATACTTCACTGCCTCGGCTGCCAAAATAACGCATTGCAATGGAAACAATGGAGCTTGTTGCAACTGGCCAAACTGGCTCATTTTATAGAATCCCTACAGCGTGTAAACAGGCCAATCAGGCCAACAAGTCTACACTGACCCTCCAAAGAGCATCCCACCCAGACCCACCCCCTACTCTTTCCCTGTAACCCTGCATTTCCCATGGCTAATCCACCTAATTTACACACTCCTGGACACTACAGGCAATTTTAGCATGGCCAATTCACCTAACCTTGTTTCCAAGACCATAAGATGTAGAAGCAGAATTAGGCCATTCTGCCCATTGAGTCTGCTCCACCATTCAATCATGGCTGATATGTTTCTCAACCCCTTTCTCCTGCCTCCTCCCCGTAACCCTTGATCCCTTACCAATTAATCCCTTCCACTAATGATATTAATTCCACATTGTTGTCTTTGAGTATTTTGAGTATGCAGTTCTCCTCTGCATTAATGGTACCCCTCAATTTGCTGTTAACCGTAATTAACTTCCAATTCCTGAGGCAAGGTATTTATGATAATGGTGAATAACAGTGATCTTATCAACATGCCCTGTAGAACATAACTTTCCAACAACTGACAGTCAAGTACCTACTGTTAACCCGTACACACTGTTATATGTTTTGCATCCAGATTGGAAACTATCCTGCTACTTGTCCTTGGACTGAGCGACCCCTGACCTTAGTCATGAACCTGCCATGTAGCACCTTCATGAAGGCTTTGAAAATCTTAATTTATTACATGTATTACATTTCTGTTACCTGTACATTCACTTACTTGCTCAAAGAGTTAAGGAAGGATAGTCAAGAATGACCTTTCCATTTGAAATCTGTATTCATCACTTTATTATATTTTCAATTCCTGGATCTTTTTTCTTTCAGTTAAAATGTATTTATCTTTCCCATCACTAACACTGAACTGATTCCTTAGACATGTTCTATGATTCCTATGTTTATATAGGATTATATTTGTTGCTCTCCATCCCTCAAGTACTTTTGTTATTTGTAATGAAATATATTCCTGGCCTTTGCAATCTCTTCCCAAACTACGTAGAATGTAAGAACTAGAAGCAAGAGTAGGCTATTCAGGCCCTAAAACCTGCTCCATCTTTTGATACAATCATGGCTGACCTCATCTTGGCATCAACTCCATTTTCTTGCCTGCTACCCATAACCCTTCAACCCATTACTAATTAAAAATCTGACTATCTCCTCCGTAAATTTAGTCAGTATCCTGGCATCCACAGACAGTACTGTGGGTTAGTGAATTCCACAGATTCACAAACCTTTGAATAAATAATTCCTCCTCAACTGTATTTTAAATCTGCTACCCCTCGTCCTCAAACTATGGCCTCTCATTCCATTTTGCTCCGCTAGAGGAAATACCCTCTCTAAGTCTATCATCACTATTTTTGCAGAAGAAATAGGAACAGGAGTAGGCCATTTGGCTCCTCAAGGCTGCTCCACAATTCAACAGGATCATGGCTTATTTGACATTCCTCATGTCCAGATTCCAAATGATATACCTCAATTAGATCTACCCTCATGTACAGGCCTAAATTGGCCAATCTCTCTCCATAAGTCAACTTCTCACCTCTGGAATGAATCTCTTCTGAACTGCCTCCAATGCAATGATATCCTTCCTCAAGTAAAGGAACCAAAACCGTACACAATCTCCATGTGTGGCCTGATATGCATAGATGCAGTTTATCTCTCTGGGGTATGCACCCTCTAAACATTTGATTATTTATCAATGACCATCTTCCTTTTCAGGTTTAAATGGTGTTATAGTTAGAATCTTACAATTTACAAAATCATAAGGGGCATGGATAGGGTAAATAGACAAGGTCTTTTGCCCAGGGTGGGGAGTCCAAAACTAGAGGGCATTGGTTTAAGGTGAGAGGGGAAAGATTTAAGAGACCTAAAGGACATCTTTTTCACACAGAGTTTGGTGCATTTATGACCAAAACGTTGACTTTCCTGCTTCTCTGATGCTGTCTAACCTGCTGTGCTTTTCCAGCCTTACACCTATAAGCTCAGGCTTCCGGCATCTGCTGTCCTTACTGTCTCCTTCCTGGAAAATACTGAGGCTAAGAAATTATTTACCATTTCACTGCCATGACCTTTGAGTTTTCAGGGTGTCTCTTCATGATCTTATCTCAACCTTAATTTTTTATTTCATAATTTATGTCTATAATACTTAACTGTTTGTCTTGTATTCCTTCTTAATATAATTTTGTACTTTATCTTCCTTTATTTTCTTCCCTAACATTTTCATATTCCCTCTTCCTATGTTGTCTATGTACTTATGTTTGTTTCTTCAGTTGTGATATTGCCTTCCCTTGCTGGGCTTTTTATTTCTTGTATAAGATTAAAAGACTGCATGTATTATGAAAAACAGTTCCCTCCATCAATCTCACTGCTTCCCATTCTCATTTGATTTTGGGTTAAATAAAATTTCCCATCATCATTAACTTATGGCCTTTACTCATTTCACATTTTGACTTATTCATCCCCCACACCCACCCTCAATAATTTTATCTTTTTGTTTACTTTGTAATTATAACTTTGTAACTATTTATTTCCTACACTTTTATGCTATTTTCTTTTTTTTACTTCGATACCTCACTGTTCACATCTATTTCTATTATCTTTAGATCAATTTGTTTTCCCAAGGCGCCTTCCCGTTAACTTATTAAGTTAAAGTCCTTTGAACACATGCCATATTTATCCATTACTTTTGAATGGTCAAAATCAGAAATCTATTTCCACATCCCCATCTTCAGCAGTACTGTCGGTGTAACTTCACCACATGAGCTGCAGTGGTTCAAGAAGGCAAGTCACCACCATCCTGAAAAGAGCAGTTGATGATGGGCACAAATGATGACCTAGTCTGCAAAATCCACATCCGGTGAATGAATTTAAAAAAGAGTTAATATAAATAGACAAGTATATGAAATCACTGCCTCGAAGGTCCACAGTGAGATGGAAATATTACATATGTGCAATGACCAAAAGTAAACATTGAACAAATTCTTCAAGTGCTGGTATATGTTTTTTGACAAATCAGTTCTTAATGGTGAGCTTTGTGGTGAGTCAAGCTTTCGTGGTTACTTTTGACTGGTACATTGTGGCAATAACACAGCTGTCTGGATCTGTGGGTGTAAGGCTCTGGAAATTTAAAGCAGTTCGTGTGTCAGATTACTCTCAAGATTTAAAGCAGTTAGACTGACCAAATCCTCTGGGCTCCAAAACGCTGCAGGGTGTTGAAGTGCTGTAGATCCAGGAGTTCCAGAAGTGTGAACATAGTTAAAAATGTATCATCAGCTGATATGAATAGCATTTCATTGCCAGTTTTGCTAACTGGCGGCAGCCATTCTGGCTTGTGAAGGATGATGGCTGTTAGCCAGCAAGTATCTACCTTTCTCCATCCGATTACCTCATTAAGGTTGATCTTAATAACCAGACTAGACAAGTTGTAATGTTCTGGTCATCAGACTGGAATGTCCGTGTCAGTGTCAAGTGTCAAATTTCAGCCTTAAGCACGCCACCATCACAAAGTCAGAAGATTGAGTGGTTCCATTTCTTTTAACTATTAGATACAATGTTTCTCATTATAGGCTTTTAAAATCATGCTTTATCACAACTTTTTTGCCATTTTAAAGTTGCAATAATATTTTCTGTGCACATTCCAATAAAATCTTTACAAAATACAAATCATTTAACTAACTCTTTAGGTCCTTTTGTCCTTTTTGCTGCCTCACTACCCTCATAAAGTCGGAAATTCATGCCTAGGCTTCTACTAATGTTGCTTTGTAACTGGCTGCTCAATGTAAGAAAGTATTCTCTTAATTTCTACTTAACCACTCAATGGAACAATGCCTCACCTGAGAAATTCAGCTAAAGCGCTGAACTCCTGATGGGGATTGAGTTCCCTAATTAAATATCTCTCCTCATGCTGGAAGTGAGTCACTTCCACCACCTCAATCCCAGTGTAAGGGTATAGAATAGGCCATTTAGGACTGAGGTCAGGAGAAATTTCTTCATGCAGAGAATGATGAGCCTATGGAATGCTCTGCCACGCAAAACAGTTGAGTCCAAAACATTAAATGCATTTAAGAGAAGTTGGATGTAATTCTTAGAGCTAAATGGTATGGGTAGAAAGCAGGGGTTCTGAGTTGAATGATCAGCCATGATCATATTGAATGTTGGAACAGACAAGAATGGGCTACTCCTGCTCCTATTTTCTATAGTTCTACGTGAGTCCACCTTCCTTGGGTAGGTTCACTATCTAAGCAGGACAAGCTCCTGCTGCCAAGAGCGGGCTCCCACTGCTGAACAGGGAGGAGGAAATTTCAGATGTGCTGTTATGAAATCACCACTGCAATGGCAGAGGGTACCAGACCAAATTGAAGGATGTATAAATACGCCATATTGTTTGAAGCCAGAACAGGTAAGGTTTAAATTACAGAAAAGAAGACAGTGTGCACACTACTACAAGAACAATTGCCTTCATAGATGGCGGAGGCTTGGCCAGAGTTCCTTGTCGTTGCTTTTATGCAGCTGGGTGGTAAAAGGGAGGCGAGTGATTTCCTGCATTAAAGGGGAATGAAAAGGCCACAGATGTCAAACTTTCTTTTATATTTTCCATGGGAACTGGACCCACATGAGAATAAGCTATTGCACACAGGCAGGAAGGGGAAAGGAAATTAGGGCATTTTCTAGGCCTTAAAAGAGCAAGACCATGGAAACCCTATGATTGAACTTTCTCATGGGAGCCAGGGTTTTTACTTTGTCAATTTCTGTTGAATTTTGGCAAGTTTTTAAAATCCATTTTGTTTCAGCCAGAAGCTGTAAATTTTGGTCTTCAGATTTATTTTTCATGCTCCATCCTGTGTGAATGTATTTGCATTGCTAAGCCGCTTCTGCACTCTGCTTTGTGCAGGGGTTGGATACTGGGGAGATTGTAAAAGGGCAGCATTGTGGTGTGAAGCTGTAGGTGGAATAAAAGGGAAAACAAGTGTGAAGAATGATGGCGTGGGAGTGGGAAGTGGGTACTGGTGTGATTCTAAGACTTATTTTTATTCATGGTAGGATAAATGCTCTGTGTAATTTTCCTATCTGTCCAGGAAGTTTAACTGGATCTGGCATCCCTGCTCCATAGCAGATTTATGGCAGATACATTTGTGTGTCTTATTCTGTAATAAGCACTTGCTTTGATTCCTTTGTTCTGAGTCTTACCCTAATGATATTAGAATGGAAAGTCAGCCCACTGAACTTCAAACTTTATAGGGCAGGATTTTACTTCTGGTTTTGACCATTTGAATAGTGTTAACAATGTGGTGTTGTGGAGGGGAGAGGAATGATATGATGACTTATTCCTTACCTTTCAGGTCACCACAATAATGTAGATAGTTGTCTATCAATGTTCTTTGGAGAAGAAGAGAAACTGGATGTCTCAGGATTTCCAGACAAAGTTATGGCCAATGAGAAGAAACATTTTCAGGTGAAAGCAACTTGGGCCCCCTCACACTGCCTGAGTGTTGAATGTTGTTAGACATAGTTCCCTTTTTATTGGCTGGAGGAAATATCCCTCTTGCCCTGTTGATCCCAAACTGACTTGTCTGTGCTGGTTCTTGAAGTAAAAAGGTTCATTGGCTGAAGTCCGTGATCAATACTTATGTTGTCCACAGAAATCTTTCAAAGTTAGTAGCTACTATACAATGGGGAATGAAGTGGTGGCTTTTCACATAAAGTTGCAATCAACTGATTTCTCTGAAGCTCTTCTGTTGAATGTCAGCCTTGCAAATACTACTTCTCAACACTTAAAGACACAAACAATAGGGCTGTAAATTGCGCAAGAAATTTCTCATTTGAATGTCTTTTCAGGGATGACACTGCACTATGATCATTTACATAGTAAAAACATTGCAGAAGCTTGAATTATTTCATTCTCCGAGCACAAATTGTAAATATTAGTCAGCTTACTCTAAGTAGCCATTTTAGCAACATATTGTCCACTTTAAAAATTGAAATTTAAACAATATTAAAATTCAATAAAAATTGAAAAAGATATGTATCTTGGAAGTTATGTGCATAGTAATTTCCTGGGAACAACAATAGGCAGCTGAGGAAAACCAAAAAGAATTCTGCTGCTATTGAACTGCCTGGAATGGAGGGAAGGTCTTAGGAGGAAGTGTTGAGAGAGCTAGGGCTTTTCTCTTTAGAATGACGAAGGATGAGAGGTGACTTGATAGACGTGTACAAAATGATCAGAGGTATAGATAAGAGTGGACAGCCAGAGACTTTTTTCCTCGGGTGGAGGTAGCTATTACGAGGGGGCATAGTTTTAAAGTGAGTGGAGGTAGACATGGGGGAGACGTCAGAGGTAGGTTCTTTACTCAGAGAGTGGTCGGGGCATGGAATGCATTGCCGGGGAGAACATAACATAAGAACATAAGAACTAGGAGCAGGAGTAGGCCATCTGGCCCCTCGAGCCTGCCCCGCCATTTAATAAGATCACGGCTGATCTTTTTGAGACTCAGCTCCACTTACCCGCCCACTCACCATAACCCTTAATTCCTTTACTGTTCAAAAATTTATCTAGCCTTGCCTTAAAAACATTCAGCGAGGTAGCTTCAACCGCTTCACTGGGCAGGGAATTCCACAGATTCACAACCCTTTGGATGAAGAAGTTCCTCCTGACCTCAGTCCTACATCTGCTTCCCTTTATTTTGAGGCGATGGCGTCTAGTCCTAGTTTCACCTGCTAACGGAAACAACCTCCCTGCCTCCACCTTATCTATTCCCTTCATAATCTTGTATGTTTCTATAAGATCTCCCCTCATTCTTCTGAATTCCAATGAGTATAATTCCAGTCTACTCAGTCTCTCCTCATAATCCAACCCTCTCAACTCTGGAATCAACCGAGTGAATCTCCTCTGTACCCCCTCCAGTGCTAGTATATCTCTTCTCAAGTAAGGAGACCAAAACTGCACGCAGTACTCCAGGTGTGGCCTCACCAGGACCCTATACAGCTGCAGCATAGCCTCCCTGTTTTTAAACTCCATCCCTCTAGCAATGGCAGACAAAATTCCATTTGCCTTTTTAATTACCTGCTGCACCTACAATCCTACTTTTAGCGATTCATGCACAAGGACTCCCAAATCCCTCTGCACAGCAGCGTCCTGCAATTTTTTACCATTTAAAACATAGTCCATTTTGCTGTTATTCCTACCAAAATGGATGACCTCACACTTATCAACATTGTACTTCATCTGCCAGACCTTTGCCCACTCACTTAGACTATCTATATCCCTCTGCAGACTTTCAGTGTCTTCTGCACTCTTTGCTCTACCACTCACCACCACACTTAGTCCCCAACTCTAAATCATCTATGTAAATTGTAAACAATTGCGGTCCCAACACTGATCCCTGAGGCACACCACTAGCCACTGACCACCAACCAGAAAAACACCCATTTACCCCTACTCTTTGCTTTCTACTGGTCAACCAATCCTCTATCCATGCCAATACATTACCTGTAATACCATGCAACTTTATCTAATATAGCAGCCTTTGGTGTGGCACCTTGTCAAATGCCTTCTGGAAATCCAGATACAACACATCCATAGGTTCCCCCTTGTCCACCATGCAAGTAATGTCCTCAAAGAATTCCACCAAATTAGTTAAACATGACCTATCCTTCATGAACCCATGCTGGGTGTTCCCAATGGGACAATTTATATCCAGATGTCTTGCTATTTCTTCCTTAATGATAGATTCAAGCATTTTCCCTACTACCAAAGTTAAGCTAACTGGCCTATCATTACCTGCTTTTTGTCTACTTCCTTTTTTAAACAGTGGCGTCACATTGGCTGTTTTCCAATCTGTGGGAACCACCCCAGAGTCCAGTGAATTTTGGTAAATAATTACTAGTGCATTTGCTATTTCCCCCATCACTTCTTTTACTACCCTGGGATGCATTTCATCAGGGCCAGGAGACTTGTCTACCTTAAGCCCCATTAGCTTGCCCAGCACTACCTCCTTAGTGATAATAATAGTTTCTAGGTCCTCACCTGCTATAACCTTCTTGCCATTAGTTTTCGGCATGTTATTTGTGTCTTCCACTGTGAAGACCGACACAAAATAACTGTTTAATGTCTCAGCTATTTCCTCATTCCCAGTTATTAAATTGGCCTTCTCATTGTCCAAAGGACCAATGTTTACCTTCACCACTCTTTTACGATTTACATATTTATAGAAACTTTTGCTGCCTGTTTTTATATTCTGAGCTAGTTTACTCTCATATTCTATCTTACTTTTCTTTATAACTTTTTTTGTGACTTTCTGTTGGCCTTTAAAGATTTCCCAGTCTACTAGTTTCCCACTACTCTTCGCTTTTTTGTATGTGTTTTTTTTCAATCTGATATTTTCCTTTATTTCCTTAGACATCCATGGCTGGCCCTCTCTTTTCCTA